CAACACTTTGTACCAGGGCTGTGGTACTTAGGAAGCACAACGCTATCAAAGCATTTGGTTCCAGAAAGTAACATTGAAGCAAGAGACCTAGATTTGGCTGTGCTCAGTCACCAAGTAGATGTGCCGTCCTGGGGGGGCCTCCTGCGTCCCAGGGCTGCACCTGGAAACCAAGGTGTGTGGCAGACACGCTCTGTGGCATCTCCTACAGCCATTGCCACCCTCCTCGGTCTTCCTTGAATTTTACATAGATGCCAGGTGGAGAGTCCCTGTTCTCGGGGAAATCAGTCCTGACACAGCCCCAGGGGAAAGTCGTAATTGGCTTGAGTCATTTGAAGTAATTCCTTCCTCCTTAGCCACATACGCAGTTTCCCAGCTTCCTCTGAAGTTAGGCAAGGCCGAGTTAGAATAATAATTCGTACACGACGTAACACTTCCCACATGCCACTCTTCAAGAACTTTCCGTAATATCTTAATTCATTTAATTCTTACAACAACCCTAGGGGCTTAGTGTACTGTTATCATCCTGTTTTTACCAAGGAGGAAACTGCAATAGAGAAGCGAAGTAAGTTTCCTAGGGGCACATGACCAGTAAGTGTTGGAGCAAAGACTCTCACCCAGGCCCGTCTGTCGCCAAGATCGATGCTCTTTGTCATCTGCAGGATCCAGGCTTGTCTTCATGCAACCAGGAGTCTATCTGACCCAATGCCTGAATCAGCAAAGGTTGTGCACGGCGACACTGGCTTTCCCATCACCTCTTCCTCATCACTGATGATTCCCACAGGAGTTACCGCTTGGCTTTCAGTGATCAACAATTGTAGTTTCTCTTCAGGGCCTCACAGCTAACTATAGATATTAGTCAAAATCACGTTACAGAAAGGTAGCAGGTAGGAATGCTTAATTCCCTCTTTCCCCCGCTTTTAAGGTTAGGTTGTGCAGATCAGACTGCTTGCAAAATTGTCTTCCTGGAGGAACTGTCTCACACGTGCCCCCACACACGTGCACACACTCACATGCACACCCGGGGCACCCACATCAGTGGTGCTTCAGGACAGACTTTCCTTCTCTGTGCTCTTTCCTCGACTTCCTATTTGAAGAAGCTTTTCCTCACCACCACCACCCCAATCCACTCTCAGCTCTTTAGGTTCCCAACTTCTACTTTTTCTTTAGTTTTTCTGTTGACTCTTATTTTTTGTCTGAGATACACCATCATCTTTCATGTAAAAAGGATGGGCTCTTTTCAGAGAGTGTTTACTTTCTGTCTTAGCAACTTAACACCTTTCCCAATTCCACAGGGCCTTTGGGTCCCACCTATCTTGACCCCAATCCCCAAAGTAGCAACATCACAGACGCCAGGCAGTAATGTCCTCACTGTCCACTGTCAGCGACATCGGGCTCTCTGGCAAGCACTGCTCACTCCTCATTCAAGGCCCACGGCGTGGAATTGCAGTCCTGGGGAAAAATGACTTGAGGTTTTGCTTGAAGAACAATTCTCAGTTCTTGGAGAAATCACATAGAATGACAGAGTGGCCAGAACACTCTGGAAATGGGTAAGAAAACTCCGTCTCAGTGCTCAAATGGGAGAAGGCTGAATGACAGAAACTGCAGCCTTCAGCTCAATCCACCCTGGGCATGACCGTGAGCATGCAGAAAAGATGCCCAGGAAGAGGCCCTAAGAGTCATCATGAACTCGCTGAGAACAAATCAGGCAGCACGGCCTTGCCTTCACTTCTGAGAGAGCTGGTAAATGAGAGGGGCAAGTCTTAAGCTTGGCTCTTAATATGGCCAGTGGAAGGAGGGTGGAGCAGAGTTATTTATAACTTGCCCTCCAGGGATTAGACATATATTCAGTCTCTATTAATCTGTTTCTGCCTCTTAAATATAAAAGAGAAAACTTTAACCTGGGTAATTGTTACATGTAAATGCTTAGAGGGCTGTTGTGTAGAAAAGGATTAGATCTCAGGAGGCAGAACCAGGATAAGTGTGCAAACCACAAGGAGGCTGCTCTGCACTCCATACAAGGACAAACTAACACTTAGAGCAGAGTTTCTTAAACCTGAGTCATGTACACACCCCCTGATACAGAAAAAATATTCTTGCAAATCCCCAGGGTTTACAAATATTTTCCTAAAACGTTTCTTTTTTTCAACTGAAGTATAGCAGATTTACAATATTATATTAGTTTCAGGTGTACAACATCATGATTCAATATTTTTATAGGTTACACTCCATTTAAAGTTATTACAAAACAATGGCTATATTTTCCTGTGCAGTATATTTTTGTTGCTTATTTATTTGATACAGAGTAGTTTGTATCTCTTAATCCCATGCTGCTATCTTGCGCCTCCCCTCTCCCCTCTCCCCACTGGTAATCACTAGTTTCTTCTCTATATCTGTGCGTCTGCTTCTGTTTTGTTATATACATTCATTTGTTTTGTTTTAAAGATCCACATGTAAGTGATAACACAGACTATTTGTCTTTCTCTGTCTGACATTTCACTAAGCATAATGTTCTCTAGGTCTATACAGGTTGCTCCAAACAGCAGTATTTCATTCTTTTTATGGCTGACATTCCATTGTACATATATATACACAACATGACATCTTTATCCATTCATCTGTCGATGGACACTTAGGTTGCTTCCATGTCTTGGGGATTGTAAATAATGCTGCTATGAATATTGGGATGTATGTATCTTTTCAAATTGGTGTTTTGGTTTTCTTCGAACTATACCCAGGAGTGGAATTGCTGGATTATATAGTAGTTCTGTTTTCTATTTTCCACAGTGGCTGCACAAATTTACATTCCCCCAATAATGTATGAAGGTTCCCATTTCTCCATATCCTTGCCAACATTTGCTATTTGTCGTCTTTTTGATGATGGCCATTCTGACAGGTGCGAGCTGATACCTCATCGTGGTTTAGGTTTGTATTTCTCTGATGATTATATATATTGAACGTCTTTTCATGTGACTGTTGGCCGTCTCGTATGTTTTCTTTGGAAAAATACCTATACAGGTCTTCCACCCACTTTTTAATTGGGTTGTTTGTTTAGTATTGAGTTGTATGAGCTGTTTATATATTTTGGATATTAACCTCTTATCAGTCATATCATTTACAAATATTTTCTCTAAACATTTTTTAAAAATAATTTTTTTGAAGATTTATTTAGTTTTTTGGGGGAGGTGAGAGGGAGGTTTATTTATTTATTTATTTATTTACTTTTAGAGGCAATACTGGGGATTGAACTCAGGACCTCATGCATGTTAAGCATGCGCTCTACCACTTGAGCTATACCCTACCCCCTAAATACTTCTTCACTATGGGCATACAACTAGGTATAAAGTCCTTATGCTTATGTTGATATACATTTACAAGTTAAATTAACAACTACATTTACAAATGTATAAATTAAATGCAAAAAAAATACAATGTCCACAATATTTAAATAGCCTTATTTTAATGTGAGAGATGATGTTTGCTGAAACAAAATCACTCTTTGGGACATGAATATGGTACCAGTGATGGCTTTTGTCTTGGGCAGGTATAGACCACGGCATAAATTGTGATAAATTAAACCAAACACATTTGAACCACAGACAAACCTTCATTTATGAGGCATACTATGATATCACTTTGTCCTTCAGTAAAATTGACATCATTTGTTGCTTGTTCAGTCCAACTCTGTTCTTTTCTTATTCATCCCAAAGTAGAACTAGTCTCATAAACAAAAGGGAGACTGAGAACATCTCTGGTCGTCCTCAGATAAAAAGTGGTCACTGCATCTGTCAATCCCCTAGGACATACAACACAAAGAATGAACCCTAGTGCAAAGTATGGACTTTAATTAATAATAATATATCCATATGTAGCTCATCATCTGTAACAAATGTGCTACGCTAATGTAAGACGTCAATCACAGGGAAGCTGGAGGTGGAGAAGTTGGGGTGTATGAGGCATGTCTGTACTTTTCACTCAGTTTCTATGCATGCGCCAAAACTGCTCACAAACAGAAAGTTTACTAATTTTTAAAAAGTGGCACATTCACAACTTAACTCTTTTTAGATTGTCGTCCAAATGTAAAGACAAACATTTACAGATCTTGTTTAGAATGCAGACCTCCAAGAATATGTCCGTGTGTTCCAGGTTCTCAGCATGGTTTCAGAAATGCTGAAACTAGGGGTTCAGAATGGAATGGGGTATTCTAAAAAGTTGTTAGAGCTTTCTCCAAAGCATTCCAGAAAACGTCTGGAAGGTCATCTTTCAAAGATGTTCTTCTGGGAATATTTGCTTTTGGAGAGAGGTCAGAACACATGATCTCTAATTCCAAGGTTATATAAGTCTAGTTTTTATGAAGATTTAACCCTGCATTAGTTTGCTTTTAGCTCTACTTTTCACAGACTGCAGTGGCCCAAGGCCAGAACAATAATGTGCTTGAACTTGTAGCTTTCTGAGTCTTTCTCCTAATTCCCACAGCCCTGTCCAAATAGCAACAATTTCATCTAGGCCAACCAATTGTCAATTTTTGGTCCTGGGAAAGAATAAGGAATAAGCCCCACTTCATTCCAGTGAACCCAGATCGCATTCCTTTCTGATGGTCTATCACATTCCACTCTGAGCTAAGTACTGAGTCGTACCTTGGGCTGACATCTTTGGGCAATACACTTCCTAACTGTTCGCTTAGAGAAACCCTAGCAAACCTTCCTGCTTCACTGTCCCCAGTGGGAAATACTCCCTTCCAGGAATCTGAGGATAGGATAGATCAGTAAAGGACTCGTAATTCTAAACTTATAAATAAAAAAACCCTCTTTTTATACTTTATTGAATTCATATGTGTACATCTTTGTTTAGCTTTAGCCAATGGCAATGGCCTATTGGAAGATGTCACATCACGGGCACTGAGTAAGTAAAATCCTTCTGCAAAGTGTTCATCGGGTCTAGATATCTGATTTCTTCAATTGGGGTGGAAGGGTTTTCCATGCGGAATTATGGAAGCTGGATCCTAGTCACCAACGTGGGTGTCTGAGGGAGGAGAAGACACCCTCGTTTTCTGGTTCCTGTCTCTCTCGCTCTTTCTCTCCCCTCTCCGGGCAGCATTTTCTCCTGTGTCCCATTACATCAGTCTTCTCACACTTCTGATTAGGGTCTTCCAGAAAGGACTGGCTGAGAGGTATGGCTTTTCAACTCCACCTACCGTCTGCTTCAAGAACTGCATTAGTATTTCAGACCTCCTGGCCCCAAATCCACGAGGAGTCGACTCTCCCGACCGCAGAAAGAGGAAATGTATTGGAATCAAAAGAAAGAATAAAATGGAAGAGTTAGTGAACACTCAAAGATTCTGGGGAATAAGCCTGAATAGTGAGCCGCCAAGGAACACCTGTTTTTTGTTTTTTATTTTTTTAGCTCTATTTGGATATTTCCAAAAGGGAACCCTTATTCATAAAGTTACAGTCAAATTTGAATAGGTTGGAATGAGATGATGTTTTCCATGTAATAAGATCTAGGAATTATTCTCCAGCTGAATTAACAGCAGTCATTCGATAACATACCTATTGAACACTGTCAACAACCTTGTGTTTATAATCGCTATCCCAGTGCGTTCCCTGTCTGAAAGCTATTACAAGATTAGCATCAAGGTATTTTTGAGCATAGTAGCAATCTAAAAAAAAGACAAAACATGCCTCCCAGATATGTTGAGATTCTCCTTTTTTCACTTCAGTGGCAATTTTCTTTTTTTCATACTTTCACCAGTTTCAGGAAAGGGCGGGTGAGAGTCAGGGGCTTCCTGACACTTTTCAGAACAAGACTCCTAATGAAGCAGTGTGTTTGGAGGGGCCCCTGGAGAACCGTGTTTTGGAACATACCGACCCCATGTGGTATTATGTTTGCCACGTTTTGCAGCTTCGTGTGAGATTTATTTTTAATCTTTAACAAAGCAGGCCTATGTTTATCTTAAGTTATGAAAAAGTATAATCGTTTAAAACAAAACTTTTACAAATAATTAAATATACAATGAATGCTGAAACATAAAAGTCAGGCAGAATGTTACCTTAACAAGAAAGGGCTTCCTAAAGATCAAAGGGTTGTTGTTTGTTTTATTTGCTAGAGACAAGTAACAGTACTTTCACTTTAAGGGATTCGGTGGCTATTTGAAGAAGGGTGGGAGAAGTCTTCACTGTCCAACCCCCACCGAGATAAAGGATTCCCACCCCTCATAGTTGGAGCGCTGGAACATTTACTTAGGGACACTAAAAATACATATTTCATGTTTAGAATGGAATGCTGAGATGTGATTGAAGACAGTACATGAATCAAGCCATTGGCATTTGGGGGAGTATGTCTTTCAATCTTTTTTAAAATGATGAGAGAAAGAGGCAATACTTTGGGCTTCCCTTTACTTCTGTGTATGGGCAAGATCCAATCAAAGTGCAGCACTGAGCAGGAACTAACTGCGCGGGCTTCTGTATCCATCAGGGAAGGCAACTGCTTCCCAGCGCGTCGCACCTCTCACGTTGTGTTGCTTTTAATGCTGCCTTTAATAAAGAAGAAAAGAAATGGGCTTCCGGAGCATGAAAGCCTTTTGCCCCCAGGTACCTACAGATTCGGGCTTTCTTTAAGTCAGTGATGCTAGTCAAGTCAGTTATGGACTGACATGCCAGTAGAGGGTATGATGGAAATACATTCTTGGTTCAACTGGTGGTGGCCTTTAAGAGATGGGTTTGTATAATGTGGTCCCCCCTTTTCCGGGGCCATTGTAATCAGCCTGAGCCACTTTGGATGGTGCAATATCTGGATGTTTCCATAGGCAGTTATATAAGCCCCATCAGGTGCTGCAAAAATACTGTTCAAAGAGAAACAACAGTTCTTCCCATTTATCTTGTGTGCCCCCTCCAAGCAGCTTCAAAATACATCGGCTGCTTTTCACCAATGCTTTCAGCGTTTATTTTGCATGTGGCTAGATTGTGATTTCTGGTTTCTTATGGTATCGTTGCCAAATTTTCTACCCAGTAAGTATAGCAAAATAGTTAAAACCTGGAGCTGTAGAATCCAACCAACCGATTCTGCCACTGGCTTGTGAGATCTGGGCAAGTCAGTCAAGGTTTCTAAGTCTTAATTTGCTCATTTGTAAAATGGCAAATATTAATGGTACTTAATTTGAAGGGTCTGAACACAAGCCAGGGGCTCAGCTTGGGGCCTGGCGTTCTATGATGACCGTCATTATCATAAGGAAGGAGATGTGTCCGAGACCTTGAATCAATGACCAGGAACCGAAAAGATGTGAGGCAGCAGTTGAGCGAGGTCTCACATCACCTCTCTTTTCACCTCGGATCCTTCCTGCTATAATCTCATGGAATGATCTGGAAGTGCCTGGTAGAATGCTCATCAGTGAGCAGTCTACAGGCTCATGCTGTGAGGGGTGGAAGAAGGAAGAAGGTCCTGAAGCAAAGACAGTGTCCCTGATAAAGGCACACAAGACAGAATATTCAGGCTGAAGAGGGGTTGGCTGACCCAATCTTTCTTCAAAACTCTGCATGGGACGGAACTGAACTGCAGTGTGTGAGAAACAATATCCCATGACTTCAGGAAATCTTACAGAAAACAAAACAAAACAAAAAACCTCTCATGGTTGGGAGAGCAGTAATGCAAATATTCTAAACACCAGATACTCCCCCAAATCATGGTTTTGGAATGCACTGAATCAGCAAATTACTTTGTTTCACTCAGTTTACTTTAATGGGAGGCAGGATGGCAGAACAGTGGAATGAAGAAGCTCAGCTACTATTGTTTTAAAAATCACTTCATGGTATTGTTACCAATAACTGCTGGGGATTGTTGACTGACATTTTACAATTAAGCACCCGTCAGAACAGCTAGAAAGGTAGTTCACATTTACGAGAGATAATGAAAGTATTGGGATGGGGTCAGGGATAGCAGTTTTACAAGGGAGGAAGCAGGACTAATTATTTGGGGTAGACTTGCCCTGTAGTATCAGCATTCCAAGAGAGTTGTCTTAGTTTGCAGAAAGACTGGAGCTTGGATGCTATCTACTCAGTATGTTTCATACACAGGTTTGTATTTAGTTTCCAATTGACTGAATAAGTGACTTTAAAAAAAAAACCTCATTTCATCCACAGCATGATTAACATTAATATTTGGACGGAATCCACAATGCTTTTCCTAATGTTAATTTCAGTTCCTTTTTCAATTCTGCATTTGAAGAAGCTTTGGCCTGAGTGTGGCTGACCCAGTAAAGGGAGACTGTGCTATGAGATGGCCCTGCCAATTCTCTACTGGAGTGTTTTTTACAGTCACATATTGATCTGCAAAATTACTGGTGAGTAGACAGTTGCAGCTCCAATCCCATAACTCTACCACAAAAATAGAATTTCAGACTCTTCCGACATGAACATGATCTAGACAGACTTTATCTTGGTCTTCCCTGACAAGTTATACGATTCAGGGCTTTGTTTCTATACACTAAACTTAGAAACTCAGAGTGACTCACTTTTCTTTTTTGCATGCATCGAAGTGAACAAGGAAGTCAGACTGCTTCTGGTGTTGCTTTCTTTGAGAAAAAAAAAAAAGACATGCTCCTTCTCAAGTATCCTTTTTAGGTCAGCAATTTTGAAGTGCAAGACTTATTGGTGTCCGAGCGGAAAGGGCTGACGCTCTGGTTTATCACGACTCCCTCTGAGTAGAGTTCTTCCAGGGCTGGAGAAAGGAAAACATTTGTTGTACTAATACTGAATGTGCTTCCTGTGTAAAATAACCTTTAACTCTATGGAGATCCCCCATTTTAATGACCAGGACATAGTGGAAATAGAAGGAAATCCAAACACCCCACGGGCAGCCATTCTCCTCCCTCGCAGGTCAAGCTGCAACCCTCTGCAGGACAGAAACAACTGCTTGAGGAATGTTTGGCTGGACTCCTGTTTCTCCTGTTTTAACATGTGACCACTTCAATCATTTAAAAATGTGTGTGACATTTTGACCCATTAAGAAGGCTGGAATATCAAGACCATGCAACCTAAATGTCCATCCACAGATGACTGGATAAAACAGTTGTGGTATATACAGTGGAATACTACTCAGCCATAAAAAAGAATGAAACAATGCTACTTGTAGCAACATGGACAGACCTAGAGATAATCATATTAAATGAAGTAAATCAGGTAGAGAAGGAAATATCACGTGATATCACTTATATGTGAAATCTAAAAAAATGAGACAAATGTAAGTTATTTACAAACAGAAAGACTCACAGACACAGAAAACAAACTCACGGTTACCAAAGGGGAAAGGAAGGGGGGAAAAGATAAATTAGGAGTTTGGGATTAGTAGATACAAACTACTATATGTAAAACAGATAAACAAAGTCCTACTTTTTAATGTATATATGACTGAATCACTATGCTGTACACCAGAAACTACCACAACCCTGTCAATCAACTATACCTCAATAAAAAAAGAAAAGAAAAAAAGGCTGGGCTATGCCAACCAGGGATCATGAGGTGGGTGGACCTGGAGAATCCTGGTACTCACACACTTCTCATGAGGATGGGAGGGAATCTTGCCAACTGTGGAACCAGCTCTCACATCCCAAGCCAGACTGCAGGCTCCTGTATCTCCATGTCTTCATTATACAAACAGTACTAAGTCTACAGTGACTACCCTGGCCATTGGAAGTTCTCTTTCTATGCAGAACCTGAAATGGGATTCCCTATAATGGACGAGGGGAAAATCTAGCAGTGTTCAACTAGAGAAACAAACTTTTCAAATACATTTGGTTTTTGCAGTTGCCCAGCTCTTTAAGTTCTGTGAAAGTACATCTACGTGATGGGGAAAGGAGGTTAATACGTGCTTTGGGAGCTTCCATAGAGAGCTAGCACATGTCCTACTGTGGCACACAATCACGTTCTGCAGACTACAGAAGACAGTTAGCAGCGGAGAGCTTCCCACAGGTCAGTCGATGGCATGTCTGTTCCCTGCTCACTTGCAGACTGCTCCTTAAAAGACACGTCTACTGTTTAAAAGACAGCTGAGCTGATTGGGAGAGAAGGGTAAAGGGGACCAGCTGTTTTGATCTCTCTCTCTCCCCCTCCATCTCACTCTCTCCCTCCTCCTCCCCACTTACATCTCCACTCCCTCAGCCCAGATCTTCTGATTAATCTTGATTTTCATGTTTTATCTCCTCATCCCTAAGAATGATTTGTCTCAGTGGGTACAGACCAAACCTACTCACACAGGAGTCATGTATTTTACACATCTTAGACTGTGTTTCTGTTTCCTAAAACACTAGTTAAGTCTAACAAGCTACAGTGTAGTGGAGGAACACTACCTGATACTTTAGTGGTTATTTGATAAATATTAGTTTTTTTTTAATTGAACTGTAGGTCAGCTATAGGTTTTTTTAATTGAATGGTAGATTCTTTAAATTCTACGGTGCTTCACAATTTTCAAAAGCTTCACACACATGATTTCATATAATCCCATAGTAACCGTTCTTTTTGGCCCCACCCCTATACTGCCCCTCCTCACTGGTAACCACTAGTTTGTCCTCTCTATCTGTGAGTCTGCTTCTTCTTTGTTTTATTCATTAGTTTGTTGTATTTTTTAGATTCCATATATAGGTGATATCATAGTTTTGTCTTTCTCTGACTTACTTCACTTAGCATAATACCCTCCAAGTCCATCCATGTTGTTGCAAACGGCAAAGTTTCACGTTTTATTGCAGAATAGTATTCTATTGTGTATGTGTATATGTTCACATATATATGTATATACACACACCACATCTTTTTTTATCCATTTTTTTATCCATTCATCTGCGGATGGACATGTAGGTTGCTTCCATACCTTGGCAACTGTAAATAATGCTGCTGTGAACACTGGGGTGCATGTATCTTTTTGAATTAGTGTTTTTGTCTTTTTCAGACAAATACCCAGGAGAGGAATTGCTGGGTCATTTGATAGTTCTATGTTTAGTTTTTTGAAAAACCTCCATTCTGTTTTTCTATAGCAGCTTCACCAATTTACATTCCTAACCACAGTGTGTGAGGGCTCCTTTTTCTCCACGTCCTCACCAACAGTTGTTGTTTGTGTTCTTTTTAATGATAACCATTCTGACTGGTGTGAGGTGATATCTCACTGTGGTTTTGATTTGCATTTCCCTGATTAGTAGCTATGTTGAACATCATCTTTTTATATGCCTGTTTTGATAAAGAAACATCCTTAAATAAATAAAATTTATCAAAATTTTCAGACATTTTCAAAGACTAAACACAGACTTCTCAATGGCCATGATACAAAATGAGCAGCAGCCATTTGAAAAACATTACTGAGCACTTACTCTGTTACAATGTTTGTTGCACTTCACAGGAGAAATAAAGGATCATGTTTTGATTAAGATTATTTCTGGATATAACAGAATACCTGAATAAAGAGTATACATTAAGCAAAAAAAAAAAAAAAGCAATTATTTTCTTCTTATAGCATGAAGTCCAGAGAGGTTATCAAGGACATGGATTCCTTCCCTTCTATTTCTCCATTCTTGTGCTTGTAACCTCACGATTTCAAGATGATTCTCACAGCTCCAGATCTCATAACTGCATTCAAAGGAGATGGTGGCGGAGGGAGGAAGGAAAGACAAGGGTAAATACGACTTTTTAAAGAGTGTTCCTCCTGTTTCATCATGGAAATAGGCCCAACAAATTCAAGGCAGGATATATAAAAAGGCCTTTACACCAAGACACACTGTAGTCAAATGTAGACAAAGAGAAAATCTTAAAAGCAGTCAGAGAGAAAAATACAGATTATTCACAGAGGAACAAGAGACTTTGGCTGTACTTATCAAAAGCAACACAATTCCAGAAAGCAGTGGAACAGTATCTTCAAAATGCAGAGAAAATAGTGGACAACCTAAATTTCTATACCCAGCGAAACTATCTTTCAAGAATGAGGGCAAAATAAATATTATCTGACAAACAACAAAATGAGAGCTTACTATCACTTATTAGAGAAACTTCCACAGGTATACTTTAGGATGAGGAAAACTCATCCCAGAAAGAAGGTCAGAGATCCAGAACAGCAAAGAAAATGATAAACACACGGTAAGTCTAAACAATCACTGACTATAAAACAACAATAATAATGTTTTAATTATGGGGTTAAGAAATAATATAGAAAGTGAGTGGAGAAGTTCTGTCTTAAAGTTGTCAATCTTCCCTAAACTCTATATTCAATAAAAATCCAAATAACCTCTTGAGCTAACTCAAATAAAAGAGCAACATGCCAAAGATAGCCAAGTTACTTCTAAAGAAGGAAGTAGAAAGTCCTGTCCTATCATATACTAAGAGATGTCATAAACCTATAGTTACATTAGGATAACATAGAACTTGTACAGAGATAGACAGATTGACCAACGGGGCAGAAGAGAGAACCCAGAGTATTCAGCAAAGCTGGCCTTGCAAGTGAGCGGAGAAAATGATGATTTCTCAGCATGAAAAGAGCTGGATAATCCACATGGGGAAAATGAAAGAACCTGGATCCCTACATCAGCCAGTATATGTGTGTATATTTCTGTGTGTATATATACAATTATAGTTACATTAGGGGCATAAACATGAAAGGTAAATCTTTGAAAACTTCTGAAGGAAAATGTTAATAGATTTGATCATAGTTAATTTAAAAATGTTTCTGTATCAAAAACCTATAGCTGACCTATTGATCAATTTTAAAAAACACAAACTAATAGACAAAGGAACAGAAGATATGAACAGGCATTTCATAGGAAAGAAAACATGAATTAGCCAATATAGTGACCATACAATTTCAAAAGTAGATATGAGAATGAAAATTATAACCACAATGAGATACAATTTTGTATCCAACAGATTGAGAAAAATGCAAAAGTTGATTCAGCCCAAATACTGGTAAAAATGTGGAGAAATGGGAAGTTTATTTGTTGGAGTGTAAATTACTTCAATTAGTGTGGCTAACATTTTGGTAATATCCAGTAGCTGTGAGTATACTCTACAACGTAGCAATTCCACTCCTGGTAGAAAAACTCTTGCACCAGCAGACATGCACAAAAAATTATATTACCACTATCTATATTAGCAAAAACTGGAAACAATTTAATTAACCCAGTAGAGTGGGTTTTTTAAAATGAGGGTGTTTACACAATAAAGTATTATACAGCAATAAAAATGAATCAACTGCATATCAACATGGATGCATTCCAAAAACACTGCTGAGTAAAAATTGGAAGTCACAGATGAATATACTTTATGATTTTGTTATTATAAAGGTTAAAAGTTAGAAAAACTAAATAATACATTTAAGTTACAGAGAAACTGAGTATAACTGTAAGGATAAGGGGATAATTTAAAAGTTCTTTTCATATATCAGGACCAGATAGCTCAAAGTTTTAAAAATTATTCTAAATAAACCATGGAAAAAAACTGAAAGCTACACATTTGACTGTATAAAGCCAGCAAAATCTTAATATGAATACCTGATTTTTAAAAAAAGTACAGTTAAAAAAAATAGAATGACCTGACTTAAGATTATCAGTGCAAAAAATTCTGAATAAAATTATGGGAAATAGAGTACTTTAGAATAACAAAAGAAAAATGCATTACAACCAAGCAGGGTTATTCCAGGAATACAGGGCTGGTTCAATATTAAGAAATCTGTCAACATAATTGATCACACAAGCAAGTTAATGAGGAAAAATGTTCATATAAAGAAATGATTAAAAGGCATTTGAAAAAGGTGAGCAGTCACTTCAAATGTAAACTCTACATATAACCTTAATAGAGGATGTAATATTAGCATAGGCTAGCTTATCTTACAAACAGCCCCAAACCTCAGTGGCTTCACATAATGAGTTATTCCTCATCACATCATAATCCAGTGTGGGTCAGCAATGCATGTCTCCTACAGGCAGTTATTCAGAGACCCAGGATCTTCCCATCAGTAGCTCTGCCATCCTCTAGGACCTCAGAATTCTCGACCCAGTACTTTGCATCTGAATGTCAGAGAAGGGAAGGCAGCGTGGAGAACCATGCAGCAGGCTCAGAGTTAGGACTGGAAGTATGGCAAATCTTTTCTACCCACATTCTTTTGACCAAAATTCAGTTAGATTGGGCTTACTTAATCACAGGTAAAATTCAGTCAGATTGAGCTTATCACAAATGGGACTGGAAAATGTAAGCTACCTGTGTTCTCAGAAGAACAGGAAAAGTGCTGAGTGAGTGTCTAGCCAGTCTCTGTCACAGAAAGGAACCACCTAAAATACTAAGGACCTTTCCCAAATAGCTGATAGCAGACATTTCACTCTTCAAGAGTGAAACACTAAATACACTTCCACTGAAATCAAGGAAAAGACAGGGATACCCACTATTACCATCACTTACTGAGCATTGTTTTGGAGGTTATAACAGTGCAGTAAGAAAAGCAAATAATATAAATTTGGGAAAGAGATGAAATTATCTTTTGCTGATAATATGATTACATATGTAGACACCCCAAGATATGCTTTTAAAAAGAACATTCTAGAATGTGGCTAGATACAAGATCAATATAACAGAGACACACACATATACAAATGCAGTACATGCATATATAAATATAGTACAAGCATAATACTGAAACTCGCTTAATTCACTTCTTTCTAAATGACTCTTGGGACTTAAAAAGCTCTCAATGTCATCTGTAAAACCTTCAGACTATTACCTACAGCAAGCTAAATGTTCTGACCTTACAATCATGTATTCCATTTTCACCAGCTGAATTGTACACTTACTAATATCCAGTTGTGTTTGCTCTGAAACATGTTTATGACAGTTGTACTGTTACTATAAACAAGTAATTTAAATAAATACTACAGAATCCAACAATAATATGAACAGAATAAATTGTTTTTATGAAAACTAAGCTGTCTGCTTTAGAAAGGTTCAATAAAGGTAAGTTATAAAAAATGCTGTTGGTTTGGCTGTGACAATTACAAAAAATGAAGGGGAAGTTGTAAGATTCTGTATTTATATTTTTCTACAAGTATTTTTAAGTTTTTGCTCCATAATAAAGAAATCCACACTGGAAACTGTATAGGATGCATTACGAATGTGGTTTATGCAAGAAGATATTTGGCATCCAAATCAGTGGACCCATACTTAAATGAAAGAACTCTGTCCTATATAACAATATGGATAAATGAATACACACACACACGACACTTTTGTTAAAATATGTAGAATATGTATGCTGTATTAGTCAGGACTGACTAGGTTATGTTGTAGTGGAAAAAAACTAAATTCCCTCAAATCTCTGAATTTGAAACTACAGACCCTTCACCTGGGTGGTCTGCAAGGCAACTGTCTTCTATACAACAGCCCAACATCCTAGCTACATTGGTCTTCTGGTATTTCCACATCAGCACATACTTCCACAATCACTATGGGAGGGGAGATAACATGGAGAATCATTCTCCAGCTCCTGAGTGCTTCCATGCAAAGTGAAATACATCACTTCCACTCACATTTTCATTGGCCACAATGAGTCTGATGGCTATGTATCATTTTAAGAGACAAGAAAGTATAAATCTTGCATACTTAGAAGTAGAGAGGGACTGGATATTGTTGAACAAAAACAAAAGAATAAAACATTGTTTTAAGCTATTGAGAATTTCAGGTTGCTACTGCAGCATAATTTACCCTAAGCTGAATAATATACATGCTACCCTTACTGCATCAGTAAGGGTGCTTACAGGAACAGCCAGATAGAAGTGAAAATGAAAGAAACCCCTACATATTCCACTTCTAATAGTGACAAAACTGCAGAGACTTAAGGCTAAATTTGACCAGACAGGTTTAAGACCTATGACAAAATGTATAAAAATATTACTTAAGTATATAAAACATGTTAATTCTCCCCAAATCAATGTATAAACCTAAAGTGATTCTAATCATAATCCCAACGGTCTCTTCTTAATCTGATAAAAACATTTTAAAGTTCACGTGGAATAATAAAATTGACCTACAATGTTGCTGCCAGGATTAAATGAGTTGAAATATGTAAAGTACTTAGGAAAGTATTTGGCACATATATGTACAGTAGATGTTACCAAATTTTGTTAAATTTGGAAAAAATTAGATCATAGGAATGGAGAGTCTCAAAACGTATCTTAATACAAACAGGATTTTAAAATAGCCTCTAGAGGAAAATAAAACCAGACTCCAATCATAATCTATATTCATAAGTAAATTAAAAACAAAATGTGAAAAACAGTATTTTAGAATAAAATCTGAGAATAAATTTATACACTAGGAGTTGGGAAACATTTTCAACTGAAGGAATAAGCCACAGAGTTGTAAAGGGAAAGAGACATTTATTATAAATGTTTAGGTCAAAGATACTATAAACAAAAGAAAAATATTACCATAAACAAAAGATTGTGGGAAATATCTGTAGTGTATAAGACAAAGGTTAATAACCATAGTATGCAAGAAATGCCTATAAATTTTTAAGAAGAAAAACTCCACAGAAAAATGAGCAAAGGCTGTATGAACAGGAATTTCCAGGAAAGCAAATCTAAATGATAAACATGAAAAATTGCTTAATCTTAACAGTAATCAGGAAGACACAAACTAAAATGACAGTGAGCTCTCACTTCTAACCCATCAGGTCAACAAAAATTTTAACTGTGGCAGAAATACAAATTTACACCTTCTGAATCAGTTTACATTTCTTTCTTTTTTTAAACTGAAGTATAGTCAGTTACAAGATATCAATTTCTGGTGTACAGCACAATGTCCCAGTCATTCTTTTTTAAAATGATGTCTCAAAACAATTCTTTGATAAATATAGTGGTAAAGGAAGGAATTATTTTGTATTCCAAGTAAACATATACAAACTACAGTATTTTGAAATTTCAGATCCTTGGGGAATATATTTTGACAAGACTGAATCTATTGGTCTTTGTAGCTCCCACACTGTACATCCCTCTCAGCTCCAAAGAATATTGCTACTGCTTCTGGTCACTGGACACTGTTTCCTGACTTCATTACCACTCTGACCCAGGACCACAAGGAAGCCCCAGTAACACACCCCTGAACATCCCACCCATGCAAGTTCTGGCAGCCCTGGTTGAGGTCTGGCAACAGCATCTTTTTGGTTCTGTGACTTTTCTGGCTGTCTACATCTAATTCTTTACCTAATTTCTCACAGCCCTGGTGCTAGGGTCTAGGCAATCTTGATATAGGAAATAAATTAGACCCAGTGCTAATTATACCCTGAAGCTAATTTTACCCAGTCTCTACTGAGCCTTTAAAATACAGCTATTGTTTACTGAGCTTACAGGACGCTGCAGATGACATGGAGAGCGAATCAGGGAGCAGGTGAGAGTGGAGGCAGGTCAGCCAGCTGAAAGGCTACCATGATGTTCCTAAAGGAAGCTGCGCTACAAAAGGATATAAACAGCTCCGGAAAGATTGCCCACAAAATTGTGGCACAAGAAGTGCAACAGTGTGTTACAGATGCTGCGGAACAAGTGTGTCAATGTGACGGGGCACGGAGGGTCCACTCTCCCTGGAAGGGGGAGAACAGGGCCGAGGAGCAAGTCAGGAATGGCTTCATAGAGGAAGTGACGCTGCATGCGATGGTGCCTAGAGCCTTCCAGAAGGAGGGGGAGCAGGAATAAAAGGACAGGGGCATGCAAGCAATGCCGTTTTCAGAGAATTCCAAGTAATTTAACATGACTAGAGTAAAGGATTTAAGAATGACGTTGGCAGCCAGATCACAAAAGGCCTGCTTGCCATTCCACAGAGTCTGGAGTCAATCCTGGAGGGCAGGAACCAGGAGCAAGTGGAGGGCTTTTGGGAGAAGAGTCACAGACTTGACTTTTAGGGGAAAAAACGTTTTTGGCAGCCCTATGAAAGACGGTCTGGAAGAAGGCAAGGAGCTATTCCTGTGGCTCAGGCGTCAGGTAATTGATTCTGTTAACTGTGATGCCTGATTTCTCAGGAGATTTCACTGAGGTATTTGAGAAATAATACTTTCCTTTCTCACTGGTGTAAAGACACGTAGGTAGAATGATAAACAAACAAGGTCCTTTTCCCCCCTCTAAACTCCATTGTGTAAACTTAGCTGTACACTCTAATTTAATAAATAGAGTGAGGCTGAAAAGCCTTTGGCATTAATCCCAGACACTAAAACAGTGAGAAAACAACAAAACATGGAACATAATATCTATCCATAAATCCAATTGTATGGTTAGGACTACGGAGCATTTTAAGAGTTATGATTTCCCTGGCAAAGTATCAAAAAAAACGTACCTTCAAAAATCCCTCAGAACAGCCACTTGGCATCCAACCATGCTGACAGAATGAAAAATGTTGACTAAACAGCCTACGTGTAACTCACCATTCTTGAAGAAGGAGAGGAAGGGTGTTTTCTAAGGCTTCAGAATGACATATTTTATTAAGTAACAACACAGTCATGAAAAAAGCCAAGAGAAACCTTCCCAGCTCACTTAGGAAATGGAGTCACTCTATTTTCTTTCAAACGACAGGCAGATACATTCTGTCTGACAGCAGAACACCTGAGAGCCAGCGCGTGCACTGCGGTCACCTGTGCTCTCAGCTCCCGCTTTTCTGCCTTTTGATGGTTTCTAATTCTCTACAACGAGCACGCATTGCCTTCAGGAGGAAGAACAAAAAAGTTAAGTAACCCAATCATACAATCAATCAGAGTGACTTGGGCTGGCTTTTTCAGCTTTTAGATTCTAAACCACCTTACTGATTCCAAATAAGATTAAAGTAAATTGCTTTTGAGGAACCCTTTTGGTGTACTTTGTATACACGC